TGCAGAAACACTTGTTCGGGCATGTGTTATCATGCATAAAACAATTACTCGAACTAGACTGATACTAGAAGTACTTACTTAGTTGATCTTGGCCGAGGTCGGAGTTACTAATTATTCTTTGTACTAGCATGAATTTGCTCCTCCAGTTCCAATTCAGTCTCAGAAATCATCTCGATGATATCAATTAAAATCAGCCACCTTGTAGTCCAATTATTGAACGTAAAGAAATATCTTGACATATATACTCTATCTCATTTTTTTCTTAGATTTAGTTACATCGAGATATTGTTTTAATATTTTCTTTGATTTATTTATATTTTGCATTGGTTAGGCAAGCATATCCCTTCTGTGGCATCTGGTGATGGGTTTGTGCGTTGAGCCTGATCAAGTCAAGCCCAGGGTATGTATAGGAGCCCACCTGGTGGGTCTATGTGCGCATACGTGGAGCGTGTGTGGGAAAGTACCTACCTCCAACCCTACCCATAATTAGAAAGAGCTCAAGACTATGTTATGTTGTTAATAAGTCACATGCTTTCCTTATTCTTCAGGTAAAGGTAAAGTGCCACGGTACGGATGACGATAAATGATGGAATGACCATGAAAGTAAAGATAGGACAATAATATGCATTGTTTTCAGTTAGTAGTTTTGTAGGTAGCTTTTCATTTTCGTATCCAAACATTATGTTAAGATTTTATTTTGATAACGATCTTTCTGTTTATTGTTTTAAACTAAACAAATAAGTCTATGACTTCGTTCGAAACGTTTTATTTAAATTTTTGTATATGTTGTTAAAAGCATGAATGTAGTGATTAGAGAAACAAACATAAAATTTAAGGAAATTGAAAACATGACTAGGTATCTATGTTTAGATTACTTTTTTATGTCCCTTACGATGATTTATTCATGTCTAGTATGATTATGCTGTTACGTAGAGGTGATCAGGGGTTTTCATACTAACCTCTAATTGTGAACTCAACTCGACTATCACGGACCTATATAACATTTTTAAAATTTGGTTACGATGATTTGTATTCTGTGGGGACTATCCACGCTTTTCAGTTAATTCTTAATAGTATACTTGCCCATGTGACGGGGATTTGTAGTAGTACTCTTACATTTATAAGTTGATAGAACTAGGGTCGAGCGTTGAAATGCATGAATCTTATGAGAACTTAATGAGTGCCTTATGGGTATAGTTAGGGGGTCTCCAACCACTCCCTAATCATGATGTTACGTAAGATTGAGGGTTGCCTCCACATTTTATGATTTTTATGTTATGGGACCTACTAGGGAGATGCCGACTAAACCCTACTAGAGAACAATGCGTTGAAACTGACACACGGGTTGCGCTTCGAGTACTAATGAGATATAGGTCAATGGTGATGCTAAGGAAGAAAGAGACTAGTAGAACATCTGATTAAGATATTTTAGAACTCAAAAACCGAATTATAAGAACTAACGGTCCAAATAGAGCTAAGAAAAGAAAACTTAATGATTTTTTTTTTTGTACTATGACCCTAAGTTGAACTTAGGTGAATCAAATAAACCTTACAAAAACTTAGGAATGATCTTCTAAGTACGAATAAGATAAAATATGAATGAATGAAATTTAACTCGGTGTGACAAAGATCTTTCCTCTAAGATAGTTTATAAATGTTTCTCTAGGTACTATGCACATTAGAATTTCACTTAGCTCGACAAAAAGTTTTTAAATCGTAAATCTTATTAAAATAGAGTCTCATACCATTTTTATTTTTAAGACAAGGCTAAAAAAAACTGTTAAGAAATTTATAATTCAATAAGGAGAGGATTTGGAAACTTGGAAACAAGAACCCATTTGAAATTTTTATTTTGAACTATGATTAAGAAGACTAATTAGAAGTTTTGTAATTGATGTCAGTCAGTGATACATATTTGATATTTGAGTCTTATGACAATTTAATTATTAATATAACATGTATTGCTGATAGGTATGATTTCAATCCAAATTAACTTAATTCAACTTTGGTTGAACTTTGGTTGAACTGTCAACTCTACTCAAATTGTTCAAGTTGTTCCAAAAGATTTCGTCAACTCAACCTGGATTTGTTTGAGCCTCCAAAACTTTTTTTTTTTTTTTTTATTCAAAACCCCAAAACCCTAAACACTAAGAGAGAA